ACGGCAGCAATAGGAAAGGCGTGATGCAGTCCTGGGTAGTTCTAACCAAAGCCTAAAGCTGAGCCATCTGTCGAGAAGTGAAAGCATCCCCGTCTCCAGAAATCAAACGTTTGTGCACCCAACATGAGAAAAAGGATTCACTCCTTGGATAGAGGTTCTCCAATGATAGTATAGCACCTGAAATTCTACAACAGAATTTGCTGTAAGTGGTACAAAAGAATCCTCTTCACAATCCTAAACTTGCTGCTTTGGGATACCAAATTATTTTGGGGGATGATTTTCTCTATCCCATTTAGCATCTTACAATACTGTATCTATGAGGTGTTCACAGATTTCTCTTCACTTGGGCTGCTTATATAGAGAAGATTAATAGGTGCATACTTCAAGTGCTAATCCTATAGTAGTACTATATACTAGCTAGTACTAAGTCTAATCTTCTAAGAGTTATAGTTAATCTAATTTGCAATATGGACATTGCAAGACCAGGCAAATATTCGACAGATTCAACCAAAAAAACAAGGAACTAAAGATAAAACTAAATGTAACCCTATTAGGTAAAAAGCTGTCAGCAGCTCATGTGCATTTAGACAAACAAGAAATTTTCAGATAATGGAAAACAGCAATCTTGCCAATACAGACCAACAGTTCACAGTTTCTGAACTGTGAAACTGTTCACAAATAATACAATACAAATAATCAAATTAACTAAACAAATTGTTTATTGAAACCAATAAGTTTAAAAAGTAAGGTCAACCAAAACTCACACGACAAACTATTCTGCACTTCCTCCCTTTTCCATTACGCTTGCATCAACAAAACAGGTAGAAGGATCCAGCCACCACTGGTTCCATAGATTAAATTCTTCCCATGAGTAAGAAAATCTAATCTGCATCATTTCAGCTGCAACAACCTAAATGTGTGCAATCTCTGCTGTTTAGTTGGGAACTTAGTTTCCCAGTAACAAGGTGGAGTTATTTTCAAATATTTGTCAAACTGAAAATATTAATATTTTAGCTATATTTATAACAGCTGACTCAACACAGCATTATTTTTCGATGCAATTTACTAAAATACTCAAACTAATGAACAGTGGCAAAACCATAGCATAATTTATTTTCACTTTTTTAAATATATGCCACCCTCATTGTAACACAATCCTCAGGAGTCCAGCATTTACATGTTATAATGAGGTGTGTGCCATGCTAAATGTCCTATAACAGCATATGCAAAGTAAAAAAAAAAAATCTCAGAAGGTAGTCTTGTAGCCTTATTACAGACATAATGTCATGATAGAGAGCCTTACAATTATAAATTCGAGTGAGGCATATACATTTGTAACTGTGTCAGTTATAATATTTTGCTGTAATTAGCTCATTTCCATACACACTATCCTGTCTTTTGTGAATATATTAAATATAATACGGATCTCTGTACATGTTACCAAACTTTTGTTTTTCAAACCAGGACAACGTCAAGTACTCAATATCCTTCAATTCTCTTTAACCCAATTCTGAACCCTATCAGAATGCACTTCCATATGTCCGAATACAAATTCTATACATAAATCTTTCCACATAAGCATAAAAAGCAAAGCATGTCATGAATATGCAACACAGATAAATGCAACATTTACAGAAAAATTAAACCAAATGATAAAATCAGACCTTTTCAATCAATCCGGGTATGAAAACAAATTTGTATCATAACCTACAATATCAGAGCAGATCTGAACCACAAAGTTATAAAATAAAACGTTCTCATTCAGATGCTGATCTACTATGAATTTAATCCTGGTCTACTTTTATTTTAGATTTCCAAGATTTGCAGTTTTTATTTTTATCCAATGTCACATCACGTTGGTTGTTTTCTTGCTTTGGTTGTCCTGTGATTGATTCTTTGTCATTTCCCATGTGCTGCAAGGAGCAATCAATGACCACCTACTTAAGATGGATGTTTTACGTGTAAAGTGCATTGCTGGAAACATTGATGGGCCTTTAGATGAACACTCCATTGAATCCTATTTTAGCTCAACTTACATAAATTATAATATTAAACAATGCTGTACAGGTTTTTATGTTCAGCCGTAAGTGGGTTCTGAATTATTTTTTTAAGATGGACTTTAGTGAAACATAGGTTTTAGAAGCAAATTGTCACCAATCCTGCTCACTTTCCACATCATCCTTTTTTCTCCACTTCTCAACTTAAAGTAGCAGGAAAAATGCAGAATGGATAGCAAACTGTAAAGGGTAGATGCTCAGATTGGCAGAGGCAGGGAAGTGGTATTCCACAATGATCGGTATAAGGACCACTGTTGTTCACAATTCACATTAAAGATTTGAACTTGGGGATTGAAAGTACAATTTCAAAATTTGCAGACGACACCAAATTGAGGGGTGTAGTTAATACTGAGGAGGACTGCAACAAATTACAAGACATTAAGTAACTTTCTGAATGGGAATTTAATTGGCAAATTAACTTCAATATAGATACATGTAAGGTGGTACATTTTGGTAGGAGGAATAAGGAGATCACATACTGCCTGGGAAATAGGAATCTAAATGGGGTAGAGGAGCAAAGGGAACTAGGGGTACACATACATAAATCACTAAAAGTAGCGACACAGGTTAATAAGGCCATAAAAAAAAGCAAACCAAGTGTTGGAGTTCATTTGTAGAGGGATACAAATGAAAAGCAGGGAAGTTATGCTAAACTTATATCGAACCTTCGTTAAACCACACTTGGAGTACTGTGTACAGTTCTGGTCCCCATATTATAGAACAGATATACAGGCAATGGAGAAGGTGCAAAGGAGATTTACACAGATGATACTGGAACTGTGAGGTTATACCTATCAGGAAGGCTAAACAAGCTTGGACTCTTCATTTTGATTTATTTTGGTGCACTGTTCCACCCTCTGAAAACTATTATTTTCACGCAATCTAGACATAAATTGACCACGGGGGTTCATCATAGCAGAGTGTAATCCTGTCTTCTCCAGATATCAAAAAAATGTAAGGACTATATCCACACTCAAAAGTTTTTTTTATTATTAAAAGTTTTCTTATATCTGTTTCAAACTAGACAGTGGCTTTGTCAACCCCTACATTCTCACTAGGTCTTACACCAGCTCTTTTTGTCAGCGTTCTGGGTCAAACAGTTGTACGTTCAAGCCCCAGAACAAGACTTTGAGCGCATAGTCAAAGCTGACACTGTATAACAGTGATGGGGAATCCTGCATTGTCAGAAGTGCCATCCTTCAGATGAAGCGCTAAACCAAAATCCTGACTGCCTGATCAGCGTAAGGTTCAAGATCACAGGCACTATTCAAAAAACGAAAGGAGTGTCTCCCAGTATCAATCCTCCAGATAAAATAGATTATTCACTTCATGGCTGTTTGTAGGACATTGCTTGTGCAACTCAATTGCCACGATAGCCTACAAAATGCAATCACAACACTTCACAGAAACATTGTGAAGCACTTTGAGACATTCTCAATATTATAAGTGCTATATGAAATGCAAAGATGATTAAATAATTCAGCACATGTATTTGGTTTGCAGATAAAACTCTAGAAATATGACAAATGGCACATCAACTGCCTCAACGTTGACACATCTTCCAAATAATGATGGCTGGAACATATGAAACACTAACACCTTGTTGATACTAGAGATGGATCAGTGGCCAGCATCCTAATTACATCCTGAACCAAACACTGAAATCAGTCTGTTTCCCATTAACAATGCAGTTCAGCAATCTGCTGTGGGAATTTGGGACTTATAAACATAAATTGTAAGGTTCACACTGCCAAATTTGTGCTGAATTCACTCCCTTCCAGATGTCAGTTGGGGCAAATTTACTATTGGAATGGAAAATCCAAAAGGCAGAGAAGAGGGTAAAAAATCTGAATATGTAGTAATAATCCTTTCATTTCAAATAGCATCTTTCATCTCAGGAGGATGTCTCAAAGTGCTTCAAGGGATACATTGTAAAACATAGTGATTGTTTATTTTGTAGGCAAAGGAGGCAGTCAATCCACAAATGTAATATACCACAAACAGGCATGAAGTGAATGATCAATTTTTGATCAGGGGGATTGTCAGCCAGGACACTGGGAGAAAATCCCATCTCTTTTTGAATAGTGCCATGGGCTCTTTTAACGTATGTCTGTACGTCATCATTATAGACTTGAAAGTACCCATAATATTACTTTGGCAAATATTAAACATACTGATTATTTGAAAATATCTTTAAAAATCGTAGAGAAGTAGAACAACAAAGTTGTGTGGGACTCAACAATCACCTGTTTAAAATGAGCTGGTTTGCAGGACTACAGTTGAAAACGTGCAGTTACATTGGGCAGTGAACAAAAGTGAGAAAATGTCCACCAGTTTACCAACAGAAAAAATAAAGTCCTGAATGCCCCATGGCTTAAAATATTTCCTTATGAATCAGAGACATGTGACAATGGTAGGTAAAATGTATTTGATGAAATGAACAAATAAGCAAAAAAGAAGCTCAAGGCGATTAGGAGAAACATGGAGAAACTGAGTGATCAGGTGAGCCATCAAACATGTTTTTTTTCTAAAAAAGGAATTTTCAGTGGCTGACCATGTTTTCTGGATAACCAACCATGTTGGTTGATTCATTTCTCAGGAGTGAAGATAAAAAACAAGTAGAAACAGCAGACTGAGAATACAAATTAATATTACCAAATGGAACCCAATACAGTAGAACCCCATTATGATATGCTTTGTTACAACTCGCTGTGTTATAATATGGGTTCACTTTATAGCATAATTGGGGTTTGGATCCCTATATTCACAGAACACACAGAAAGCCATCAGACTTGATTCAAAATTTTGGTTGCGTTCACTAAGGGATACATTACACTAATACCACATACCAGTTCTATGGATATACAGCAAGCACTGTAGCTAAATTATGTATCTATTCTTTCCCAAAATATTTTTCAGTTTTAAAAAAATTTCAAATCTTACTTGTTTAATATTTGCTTCTTCTGCCTTACTGTTCAACTTAATTTCCTTGTTCCACATTGAAAGTAACCGCTTGATCTGCTTTGTATACTCCATCTAGAGGTAAATAACATATGTGGGCATAATTAACATTTTATTTTTTACCTTATATTTCGTTTAGTATACTACACTGTATAGTATAGTATATAGTATATATATAGTATATAGTATAGTACACTGATCTTCACATAAAATTATCAACATAAACCATAACTTTATTTTAAGTACCAGTTAGCATTCTAGACCACTAATTACTATTAAAAAATTATGCAAATGACATATACCTGAAATTAATTGACATAGTAATATATCATCAAATATTAAGTTGATATCTATCAGGTGTGGTTCCAGTGGTCAGGTTATCAAACAGTGAGATTTCAGTAATGCTGTGTTCCTGCTGTCCTTTTGAAAACAAGGCACTTAGTTCTTGTGGAATCTGGTTAAATAAGAATGCACAGGAATAGGCAAAATGATGTCCCAATTGCTGCACAATTGTTTCAGATCCCTGTTGATATGGTCCGAACCAATTTCCAGATCTCAGTTTATCATCAACGTGCTTTTAATCTGTAAAAAGCTGCCATCGTTTTTCTCAACTTACTGCTTTCTACCCCACAGTGATTTGTAAACTACAAATACTCCAGCTTCTTCTTTCTCTCTCTATCTCGCCCTCTCCATTCTAAACATGCTATTGTTAATACAGTATAGACAGCTATCCGTAATATCAATGGACTCCAGCAAAATAAGATTACCTACAATGTGGATTAATTTATTGCTTGCCACATTTGACAGGAAAATCATTAATTGGTAAAGTTCTTTCAATAGACTTTTCCTCCTCCCCCCTCCCCACATACACACACACATAAAAATTATACTAGGTGGGTAAAGATATTTTGAACAAATACATATATTATATCATACTTGAACAGTTGGCCAAATATCAAAAGTATAATCAAATTATCACAGCAATTGTAGACACAACTAAAATCTTGGTTAGTCTCATGAACATTGCTTACATTTTTAAAAGTATCCATCAAACCAGATGTGTGTTATCTAAGGAATATTATGGTTTTGAATCACTCAGTGACAAAAACAAACTAATGAAGTGAAGTTTACTCTTTTTTTAAAAAAATGAGGATATGATTCCAGTCTTTAAAATAATGAAAGGAATAGGGACTCCTGTTTAATGCAAAATTAGTTAAAACAAAACAGAAGCTAAATTTGGCATAATAAATAAGTTCTCTACATTTAGAGTCTTTGACGTATGGAATAGACTGCCATCTAGTGCAGTAAATACTGATTTTGTTGAAGCATTTGAAAAGGAACTGGATTATTTCATGAGGAATACGGTTTAGAAAAATTAGCTAAGTGGTACTTTTGGCATTGCTACAATTTTATCCTACAGCTTGCAAACAACCAGAATTGATTAATAAAACTGGTACTACACTTTTATCTATACAATAAAAGTGACTGTACATGATACGCTATATCAAATGCAAGGAGTATTATTATTATCTGGAAATATTTAAGGAGAAATAAGGCAGAAAAAAAGAGAGCACAGGAAATAAAAGTAGAAAAAAGAGAGCATGGGAAAATAAGAGTGACTGGAGAAAAAACAGAAGGAACAAAGGTAGATGGAAAATACAGGGTATGCAGAAAAAAATGAAATTAAGAAAATGAAAAGATAATTATCTTAAGTTTAAAATCATTACATCATGTGCAATGTTAGTGACCCCAAAACATGACAATTGGTACGAAAGTTTGCAGTTGACAGACAGTGTAATGCCTAGGATGTATCAGATAGATGGGAGCAGGAACAAAAATATTTGTGTTCCCATCTATCTGATGCAACCTAAGCATTACACATCTATGTTGATATAGCAGCATCTTTCATGTTAGAAGGCCATCTGCAAGTGCTTTGCATAGCTGACTGCACGACCAAGCTAGGGGGAGGGCCTGAGGGAGGGGAAAAGATAGATTGGTCAAATGATAGATCTCAAATTTATCTGTTTGGCATCTACTGGAATCAATACAAACACAGCATAAATTATTAATGAAACGGACTGCTACTACAAATTAGTACTCAACAATATCATATAGGAAAGGTACAGGGTGGGAATAGGTCAATGGGCATTCTGTGGCTCAAATAATAGTTTTGAATTAATTAGCAGTAGTGCTGTGTATAATTGAAAAACAATTAACAGCTAAGGGATTTTGATTAACAATTTTGCAGCTTCAAGCAGTTACTGCAAATCACAAAAGTCAATGATTCATACCTAAAATATCACTGTAATAGCATAATTCAGAGGAAACCGTTGTACTACACTGGATATTTTGACCTGTACATAGTACGAAAGTAGCACTCCAATAAAAAGCAATAAGTCAATGACAAAAGGTCATTTATTTTACTCTAACTTCTATTTTCCATCACGGATATTGTAGGTGACATTCATAAAGGAATGGTAAATTGCCTATATAAACTAATGTTTCAATCGCTAATGACATAAATATATATTTTTTTCCCCCCACCATTGGTTGGGCAGCCCGTAACCAGAGGACACAATACAATAGCAACTAGGGGATCTAAAAGAGAACTTAGGAAGAACTACTTCACGCAGAGGCTCATGAGATTGTGGAACTCAAAGCCTGAAGCAGTGAATCAGCTAGTGTAGATGCATTCAAGATGAAGTTAGACCTTCTCATGAGGTAGAAGAGAATAGAAGGGGATGAGAGGGAGTAATGAGTGGCTAAAGACTCATGTGGGAGAATAAACACTAGGTTGGGCCAAGTGGGTTGTTTATGTGCACTACATTCTTTGTAAATCTTCCTTCCATCCTTATCAATTTTCTTGACCCATACAATCTGCTGACCTTAAAAGCTTGTTGTTTTCCATTATTCCAGTGACAAGGAAGTACCACTGTGGCTGGACTATTCCAGCTTGCGATTTATAAAATAGGCCTTTTCTCTACAGCAATGACAAACCATCCTTATAAAGTACGCGAGCAGAACATTTTGGGGATCAGTAGAAAAAAGGAAAGAAGATGGGAGAGGATTTTTGTTTTATGGTAAGCAAGTTTTATGGAGTCCTGTAGCTCAGTGGTTAGAGCACTCGCTTTGCAAGTGAGAGACCTGAGTTCAATTCCAGGCCGAGCGAAACCTTGGGCAAGTTTCCTTACTCCACACGCCTAATAATAATCCTCCAAAACCAAAAACAATAATAAATTAGTCATTTTCAATCTACGACTGTTTGTGGGACATTGCTGTGCGCAATTGGCTGCCGCGTTCGCCCACAAAAAATACAGTCAATTCACTTTACAGTGTGTTCTGTGAAGCGCTTTGGGACGTCCTCTCGACGTGAAAAGCGCTATATCAAATGCAAGGATTATTATTATTAAGTCATGCATCAATTGATGTTGGAGTTTAGACTCGTTCCCAGACTTCTTCCACCAATACTACTCAAGCCTAGTGTCAATGGTTTTAATTGGATTGAGTTGACAGAACAGTACCTTTTGGATGCACCAAGACAGCAGGTTTAGCAAAGGCAGAAAGTTGCTCACATTTAACTATGAGTTTTTGACAATGAGAACTAGAATTGATAATTAAGGTGAACTAAGTTGGTTTGTTCTAAAACAGCCATTAAAACTTTGCTCAATTGCAGTGAATATCATTTTACTAAAATGGGATCACAACCTTCGAAAATTTAGTTGAGGTCACCCACTTTCATTGTTGTTAGTGTACAGAAGTCTTGTTATTCTGACATCAAGTAATGTACCAACATCTTAATTACTCCAATATTATTCAATAAATAATATTGTAATTTTGCAGTAATTTTCCAATACTTGGAAAAGCAGAAAATTCTAATTTTAACTACCTTGCAGGATAGACACAAGCCACAAATGTTCTTGATGGCTCAGCTTTTATCAAGTTACTGTATATGGAGAATGATCCTTTCTCTTTTCAAATTGTGTTATGAGATCTTGAACATCCACATGGACAACCAAACAGTATCTCAATTTAACATCTCAAAAAAGGACGGCACCTCCAACAATATAGCATTTCCCAGCACAAAATTGGAGTGTCAGCCTGGATGATATGAGTGCAACATCCCAATATGGGGCTTGAACCCACAATCTTCTAACTCAGTGGTGAAAGTGCCACCAACTGAGCCAAGTTGATGCACACTGTGAAGATTACACTGGAAGTGAGACAAACATTGTGTTGCCTACTTGACAACATAAATGGCAGATGCAATGTGGATGAATTGAATTTAATTTGCTCCAAGAGTGACCAAACATGCACACTGTGCACAAAGAGCTTTGACTCCTCTTTAGAAAGTTTTATGGAAATTTATCCCATTTTAGTCCAGTTACGGAGCATCCTTCAAAGATGAGATGGATGTAAGTGATTAAAGTCAGCACCTGCCTCTTCAGAATACTGTGTTCACAAAGGAGATTGAAGACACTGGTTTAATAATAATGGTGGTTCAATGATTGGGAGAAGATGGGGACAGGATGTTTCCAGCCTTTTGATTTTGGAGAAAATTTGCGTTGTATTTTAACAACAATTTTCAGAGTTTCTACGTCCTATCAATTTTGAAGAGAAAATGTGCAAAGATATAAGTGAATTCCGGAAAGACAAAGCAAACCATGGTTTGCTCACTAATTCCTGTCCTGCAAATTGAAATGTCTGCTTAAAGAAATTAATTGCTTCAAAGCAGTGAGCTCCTTTCAATGACTGGTTCATGCTGCAAAGTATTAAAAAGGAGTTTTATGCCTTAAGGGCATTTCAAGTAATAATAATGCAAATGCAAGTATTATTCTAAGTAATTCATTGAATACTGTAGTGCAAGACTCATGAGTCATGACCAATTTTAAAAAGCATTGATAATGCAACTGTGTATTATTAGTTTCTTTCAACATTTATTGTTTTGTAAACATCTGTTACCTCTGGTTTTGTATCATCATAATGGAGTGGAGTCCTGTAGCTCAGTGGTTAGAGCACTCGCTTTGCAAGCGAGAGACCTGGGTTCAATTCCAGGCAGGGCGAAACCTTGGGCAAGTTCCCTTACTCCACACACCTCATCCCTCCAAAACCAAAAACAATAATAAATTGGTCATTTTCAATCTACGGGGACATTGCTGTGCGCAATTGGCTGCCGCGTTAGCCCACAAATATACAGTCAATTCACTTTACAGTGTGTTCTGTGAAGCGCTTTGGGACGTCCTCCCGACGTGAAAAGTGCTATATCAAATGCAAGGATTATTATTATAAATAATTCGTAAAGCGTTTTGAGGCGTTCTTGACGTGAAATGCTAAGGGCAAATTATTCTGTTATTCTTGATTCTATGTTTTCAGATGTTGCAAATAGCAAAATTATACTGCTATAATCAAAACTAAACTTCAACATTTTTAATTTCTTAAGTTTACCCAAAATATACTACTATCTATGACTAAAATGACTGATTTACAGTACGTGAATATACAAGATAAGAAAATCATTACAGAACAAAGATCAATTTTAGCCATTTGCAGGAAAGCACCATTTTTGAAAAGAAGGGGACTTGAAGTGCACTCTCCTCATTTGATAAAGTATGTAGAAATAGGAGTAGGAGCATACAAGACAAAGAACACAGCCTTAAAAGGAATAGACGGATAAGGCCCTAAATTCACTTTCCAGCTAGGAATAACTTAGGGTGAGGATTTAAGGATTTTTCACAAAGCATGTGGATTCCTTGCTTATAGCATTTTTTTCCTTACTGCAAGGAGGTTTGTATCAAGTGGTATTTTCTTTGAAAGTTAACAGAGAATGATTACATAAGTGAAGGAAAAGATGAGTCTAAGGGAGCTTCACAGTCAGTTTCAGAAACTGCAGGGGGAGCAGAGGCACACAAATATTTACATGAATCCGCTGAAGCTCTTTCTGAAATGGCAGCTAAGAGTTTCAAAAACAAAACGGGCATGAATGCAGTCATTGATCAGTTGTTGCCATTTATTTGTTACAAGGTCACTCAAGTACAGTTGTTAAATAAGAACACCATTTGGTTTGCATACAAAATAGAGACAGCAAAACCAATAGTAAATTGTATCTGATATGACAGTAAGTGGAGCATTTTGGTTTCTGGTGTTAAAAAAATGCATACGACTACCAGTTTCATTCAACTTTAAACATCATAACAGGATCAGATGTTGGAAGAACCAGCAAAATAAATAAAGTAAGCAAAAGTTGAAGAGGAGATTGTAAAATTTTACATGTCCCAGGACTGGAATTGCAGACCAGAAACTCCACAAAAGTAAGCTAGACATGTGGTTACCATTATCATAACACTACTCATGAGTGAACACAACATTTGTCCTTGTCTACAAATCCCTTCACAGAATTGGACCATCATCGAGATCTATTCTCTTGTCCGAATCCTTCACTCATTTGATTTTTGTCTATTTCTCAATGCTTCCATCCTCTCATTGGTAGCCCATCCTTCAGCCACCATGCTCTGCTCTGCAATTCTTCTAAAATCTCTCTCCACATTATCAAAATCTTATTAGAACATATTTCTTCCACTATGTTTTGGTCAACATCCTTAGATCTCCCTTTTTCCTGCTTGGTGCTCTTTATTATACCTGTTCAGCACTTTTAAGATGTTCACTCCATGTGAAAGGCACTATTCAATTATAAGCAGTTGCTCCATTACTTCAGCCCATGCAGTGCTCAAAAGTACTGTTATAATAATAATCTTTGCATTTGATATAGCGCTTTATCACATTGTTAAGACGTCTCAAAGCGTTTCACAGAATATACTGTAAAGTGAATTGACTGAATATTTTGTGGGCAAGACGTAGCAGCCAATTGCAAACTGCATTGTCCCACAAACCATTGTGGTTTGAGAGACTGTTGTTGGCAGATCAGCCAGGTTGCCTCAATGGTAGGAATTGAACAGACAGACCTGTCACTTAGGAAAGGTTTTTTTTACCACCTGGCTTCTGTTAATCCTGCAAATTCGAAGCCCGGACAGAGGTTGGCATACTGCTGGAACAAACCAGCCAAACTGCGTAACTCGCCATTAAAAGCACTCTCCTGCAAGCTTTCTGTTGCTTATAGCTGCTAATACTGTAGCAGCTAACACCCCGGACAAGCAGCAGAAAGCTTGCCAAGAGAGTGCTTCGAATGGCAAGCTACGCAGTTTTAGCTGGTTAAACTCCAGTACTACCACAGTCTGGGGACCCCAAGCCTTGATTCTTGCCAACCTGTGCCTAATATTTTCCAGAATTAAGCAAGCAAGAGGTTCCTTTCTGGGCTACAGTGCCGGTTACATTCCAAACTCTGAAATTTCCATTCATAGGTACATACATACATGGAACCTCTCAGTCTGATCTGAATATTGAGAAGATATGGATGGATTTCTGGGGGAGTCACACACCTAACTGATCAAAAAAAAGGGTTATCGGAGAACAGACATCTTGTGCAGAATAAATTCCCTAATTAAATACTTGAAACAATGGGATCCTTTTTTAATCCAAATAATAAATTTGGGTTAGCAATTAGGCAATCTCTTACTTTCATTTGTTTCAATGTGTCAGTTCTTTGTGTTAGAGTTGCAGCATGGGCTTCAATACATTCAAATTCCTTCAAAAAATTCTGGTTGCGCAGATGGGCTATCTTCTCCCGTTCATGTATTTCTTTCAAATAATTTTGCAGTTTTGCTCCTTTCAGCTTGGATCTGAGAAAATGGAGGAGAATGCTTAACAAAATAGCAGTATAAATCTTATTTTATAACAGAGAAGGGAAGAGAATGAGAGAGATGCAGGCAGGCAGGCAGGCAGGAAGGAAGGAAGGAAGGGCCTTATTTTGTTGAATTATCACAAAGCACTTAAACAGTAAGTTACTTACAAGGGTAGTTCCTTTTTTGCAAACCTGGCAGATTTGTCACCAAGTTCCTCTTATAGGATTCTTGACCAGAAAATAGGAAAAATTCCCTTGATGGGATCCTTACCATTTACCATAACAGACAGAGGACTTTAGTGTTTAGTGCAAATATCGCAATTTCAACACCACTTTAGTTATAACTAAATCAAACATCAGCAACATGTTTGAAAGCTGTCCATTTCACAATAAAAATAATATTTTATTGATTTACCTTTACTATTTGACTCAAATCCACATTTCTCCATCAGTTAAACCCACAAAATTACAAGTGCGGTGAACGTAAGAACCGAAAAGCAATTGAACATGCCCATCTGTGGATTATTAACAGCACTCACAATTCACACGTTTGATTGAAGGTCGGAACTGAAGACATGGGTGAATAACAATACATCTCAATTTCTTCACGTGTATACACCTTTAACCAGTATGCTATAATGATACTTTTCCTTTGAATGAAAATGTGATTCAATACACAGAAAATGTGATACTGATTCAAATTTTCAATACATATGGTACATACCTCTACAGAAAGCACATCTTAGCTGTATTCCTACAAGTCTGTGTACACAAAAACACAACAAACACTTCTCTTCTACACAGAATCAAAGTGTTATATATCACACAGAGAGAATAAACTAAAGGGATTGTGTTTTGGAAAAAAGAAGCAACTGTACTTCAGATAACAGGTGATACTGGGAATAATCAATGCTTTAACACATTGCTCTTCAATCTATGAATTCAGCCCAAAATCATGGCCTGAAACCTTACCAGCGGTAACAGTGTTTCTTGAAATGTTGTACAAGTAGAGTCATCAAGCTTCTATTTGCAACACAAAAAATCCCACTGGCAGTAAAACGGTCAATACAAGGATGACCAATGCAGGAAATTCAAAAATGCACATTGATGGAAAACTCTGGGATAAGACTTATTTCTGGTGCATATCAGCAGGGATGTCCCTTTGGTTAAAATCAAGTTTAGTATTTGTTCTTATCAGTTATTCCTTGTGCTAGCACCTGCCAGAAACATTCTCCTGTTGTTATTTGCTTGTGGGTACAAGGTCACAATCAAATCTCACCAATAAATGGGGGTCATGGGAAGGATTGAGTTCCTGGCATCAGCTGTGCCTTTAGCCCTCTGTTGGCTGGAATCGGAATTGCAGAACTTCCAACCTGAGGAGTTCGATTTCACTCACAAAAGAGGAAAGGGAGACACTCTGGAATGCAGAGCTCGCTTGAACACTTGGTCACGAGGCTCAGAGAGGCGATCTAGTCACCTGACCTGTTCAGGCGGGCGTGAAGGCATCAAGTCTTGGAACATCCTCCCAACATGAAAGGCGCTATACAAATGTAATTTTGTATTGTAAGTCTGCATTGTCCTTTGACAATTTGGGGCCTAGAGAGTTTGAGGGAGACAAGGTCTTGTCTGTGGGGACAACCTTATTTCCCTTGTGGAACGCAATTCGGTCAAAAGGATGAGAAGGGCCTTACCTTGCTTAATACAAAAAATGTAAAAATTAAAAATATGAGCAGGAATGTGTCAGATCTTTACTATACAAGACATAGGAAATCACTATTTTGTGTGAATGAACAATACCATTCCCCTAACTTGAGAAAAGAATCATCAGAGGCAAAAGGTTACTATTAAGTGGGCTTAGCCCATTAAAACAATATTAGAAAAACTCTCCCAACTGCCCAGTGCTTGTACCTCTCTCCTCTGCCTAATCCCTTTGCTCAGCTAATAATGATCACATGTGAATAATAGTTATTAGACGAGGTACCAGAGGGTAACCACCACCAGTGGAACTATACCCCAATAAAAGAGGGAAAATACCATGGAAAACACCACAGCACATCTAAATGGCTATGGGAGAGGAGAAAGGGGAGAAAATAGGAAGGGAAAATAATTTTTAAAATGTTAGTAAGGATTTGATCTAAAACACAAATGACAATTCCAATGTACTTACATCGGCTGCTCTGTTTTGTTACTTGCCAAAAGTTTTCTTTCCAACTCCAATCTTTTTCGTTCACTAGGAAAAAATTAAAAACTCAACAAATATTCCTAAAAAAATTCTCAAACAGTGGAAGCATTGCTACTACTATACAAAAACAGCTTCATCCAGCCCCAGAAATGACATTGCCATGGTTTCTGGATTTTACAGCAACCTCTTAAGCAAAAAATCCCAAGCAAACATGTTGAATTTACTTTTAAAACATAGAAGCAGTTCTTCCACAGAGCAATTGGTCTCATTTAGATCATCCGATTATTTAAAGCACTGTCTTACCTCTTATTACCGCGATCTGGCCCAAATGTATTCGTAGGTAATAGTGGAATGTGGTGCAGGCAGACACTTTGGACCCGTCACCAGCAATGTATACAGTATCTGATGCTGCAATAGCCATGTAATATCACCAATATTTACCTCTTTCAACCATTAAGAGTTCAACCACGTAGTTATTTCAACAGTGCTGTTACTACTCTTTATTCAGATTTCAATTATTTTTAAAAAATATATACAAATATAAGCATACCAAAATATTTCCATAAACTTCAACTGCCACTGTATGGAGGAAATCAATGCATTTGATTATTCCCCTGATAGTGCTCCATTTTTCTTAATTTACCCATATTGTTTTGAAGTTGGAGGGTACTACAACATATATTACAAGTTTGTTCCTGCATTAAACTACTGAGTAAACCTGGCACAACAGTGTTTTAATGTCTGAGATCCAGAAATTCTTTAAAGATCACTCAATGTTTAAATATTTAAATAACAAGTCACTCTAGATTAAAAGAAGGTTTTCAATAAATATCAAGAAAGAAATTGAAACTCCCTTGTGTTAGGCATGTTGATAGGTAATGAAACGGTAGTAAGGTAGTCAGACATTATATTAAAATACACGCAGTGTGAGAAAGACAGTGACACAAAAAAAACAGATATGTGACAGGTAAAAAGATTAGAAAGATGAAAGATGCAGAAAAAAAGATACGATCAAAGGGTAAAGGGAGAAATACAGAATAACAAACCCTGAGCAAAATAAAAAGGACAGAAACCAACAGGAAGATCTATGCATCCAAGACTGCAAAACATAGGATAATATAAAAAAGAAAGGTTTTTGATTCATTTTTATTAGTTTTTCCTTGTTTCCCCATGTTCCCTGAATGTACAATCCAACACTGCATGAAATTTGAAATATTTGACAGCAGTATGATAAATGACCATCTCAACAGCTTCATTACTCATGAAAGAAACTCCACAAAAAAGAGATATCTCACTGCTCATGAGCCTGGATCCACTGAATGAGTATTAAATTTATCTTGCCATTCTATAACAGTATCTCAGGCTCACCAATGAAAATCCATTAAAAAAACACAGCAAATATGCTTGTGTGTTATGTGGTTGAGTTAATTCCTTGTTCAAATGTCATATCAAATGGAGTTCATATGGATATCTGATGTCTCGCTCTCTTTTGCTTCTTGTAAATATCACAATGAAAATATGAAAATTAGCATTCAACTTTAGAGAATGCATTGCAATCAGTTGTATGCAGATCTCAGCATGACGGAAACGGATATAATAATAATAATCCTTGCATTTGATATAGCGCTTTTCACGTCTTCTACACGTCTCAAAGCGCTTCACAGAATATACTGTGAAGTGAATTGACTGTATATTTTGTGGGCGAAACGCGGCAGCCAATTGTGCACAGCAGTGTCCCACAAGCAGTTGTGGATGAGTGACCAAATTATTATTGTTTTTTTTCCTGAGGGATTATTATCAGGCTTATGGATATGGGCATATTCAGCAATTTGGACCACTTTGGCAATTCCAAGAGGAACAAAGGCAATCAGAGTTGCAGGGCAACATGCCATGTGCAAAAGTAAAAATCGTAAAGCAAGTCTACCGAAGTCACTCTCGTGTGCCTCCATCTGGTTCAAGTAACATTGGGACAGGCCTGGGTGCAGGTCCTTTACACACCATTTTGATTTGAGGATGCAGAGCAAACTGAAGGATGTCAGATGGGGAAGAATGTTTGGTGTAAATCGCTGTGCTGAATAAGATAAGGAAAGTCAAAGCTGGAATTTGAAACAGTTTGACAGTATTGACGCCAATTATCAGCATAATCGAATCCCAGATCAAAGTATTAGTCACATCCAGAGGAAAACTCTCATCAACTGTGTCCCCACAATATGCCTGACCGCCAACCTCAGAAGAACACCAACTACTAACATTAATGAGAAGTTTTCTATCTCCTGGAGCAGTCAATTATTGTGACATTGTGACGTGAAACTGTCAAATTTGGGGAAATCCTAAATCATTCATATCGGACGCTTACAACTGACTCAGAGACAACCAAACTCCCATTAATTTAGGCTAAATAAAAACACAGGTACCAGCGACAGAACAATAGAGGGAATTTCCCCAAAACTAATATACATTTTTAGTTTGAGGAAAACTGTATCAACAACAATGTCAATTTTGCTTCATTTCTTAGTTCAGTTCCCGGTAGGTTCAGCCTCACGACACAAAATATCTCCGCATTTATGATCATATTTTTGCAGTCTCAGTGGCACCACAAGGATCGGCTGGCATGAGAAGTGGAAAAATTCCACTCATGCAGTGTATAAGCTCTTCAAGGTTGAATTCAAAGCAGAGCAAAAGAAGCCAAAATGCTACAATTTCTTTCAAAGAAAGCTACTGTGCAATTCAGCTTCCATTTGCAGTCGAAAAATATTGTGAATTATTGAAAAAATACCCATGGCTATAAAATCCCAGGCTATAAACTGGGAGTGGTTGATTCTGACTCCGGGTTCTAAAAACAGAAAAGTTGAGGTTACAAGACGCTACAATGAAGAAATACTTTGTGCACTGATATTCCCTGACTTTACAAGCATAATTCACAAACTGGATTTCTCCTAAATTCTGCATACAATTCTGATTGTCTTGTCTTTAATCCTCTCCTTTTTAAAATGTACATGCTCCTGCTCAAGGATGTCATCCACAGATATTGGGTTAACTTCCACATGTGTGCGGACGATACTCAACTGTAACATTCTGTCCATCTGCAACCAGGGCTCCCTCTGCTTCCTCATCCTCCTTGACCTCTCTGCTGCCTTCGACACCGTCGACCACTCTATCCTCATCCATCGCCTCTCCTCTCACCTCAACCTTTACGGCTCTGTCTTTGACTGGTTCAGATTGTACCTCTCACACCGCCTCTACTTCATCTCCACAAACGGCTTCTCCTCTAGCCCCGGAACCATCTCATTCAGTGTTCCTCAGGGCTTTGTCCTTAGTCCCCTCCTCTTCAACATCTATATGCCCCCTTTTGGTGACATCATCCGCAGACATGGGGTCAACTTCCAATGTATGCAGATGACACCCAACTGCCTTCACCCTAGACTCCAGGACCACTTCTGTCCTCACAGATTGTGTCGGACATCAAGTCCTGGATGAGAACTAACTTCCTTCAGTTGAACGTCAACAAGACCGAGGATCTCCTGATTGGCTCCGGTCAGTGCCTCGTCACCTCAGGTGCTGACAGTATCACCATCCATGGTAGCACACTCCACCTTGCTAAGCCAGTCCAGAACCTTGGCATCTTGTTTGACCCTCAACTATACTTTCTACCCAATCTGCGCCAAGACCCACTCTGTCTTCCCCCACCACCGCAACATTGCCCGGCTCCGCCAGTGTCTCACACCGCTCATCCAGAACTCTGCAGCCTGCAATAGGCTCCGCAACCCTATCCTTGCCCAACTCCACTGGTTTTCCATCTCACAGAGGATACAGTTCAAGATCCTGGTCCTCTCCTTCAAAGCCCTCAATGGTCTTTCTACCCCCTACCTCTGTGACCTACTAACCCCTTACCAACTTGCGCTCAATGGCTCCGGCCTACTTCACGTCCCCAGCCTTGCTCGCCCCACCATTGGTGGGCAGGCCTTCTGCCACTCTGCCCCCACTCTCTGGAACTCCATCCCACAGTCCCTCCACGTCACCCCCTTGCTTGTCTCCTTCAAGACCCATCTCAAGACCTTCCTCTTTGACTGTGCTTTCGATCACCCTGCTTTCCCCCTGCCCTCTCCAATCCCGAGGTCCAAAGCACTGACTGTCCAGTGCCTTGGGACATCCTCCTGCTGTGAAAGGCCCTATACAAATGTAATTTTGTGTAATTATACACACTATTGGCGGGCAGGCCTTCTGCCACTCTACCCCCACCGTCTGGAACTCCATCCCGCAGTCCCTCATCCTCACCCTCTCCCTTGCCACCTTCAAGCCCCATCTTAAGACCCTCTTCTCGCCGTGCTTTCGTTCTCCCTGCTTTCCCCCCTGCCCTCTATCCTCCCTGACCCCCACCTCAGGTCCAAAACTCTGTCTGTCCAGCGCCTTGGGACGTCCTCCGGACGTGAAAGGCGCTATACAAATTTAATTTTGTAGTTGTCATTGTATCTCTCAGCTTTCATCCTCGACTCCAGGATCACTGCTATTCTGATGAGAGTGTCTGTCAGACATCAAGTCCTGGATGAGAGCCAATTTTCGTTAGTTGAATATCAACAAGACCGAAGCTCTTCTGCTTGGAGAGCCCCAAACCTCTATAACTCCCTGCCTCAATCCCTCTGTTTTACGTCCTCTTTACCCCTCCAAATCAAACTAAAGTCTTTCCTCTTTCACAGTCAGCTCCCCTTTCTCCCAATCTGGTATCATTGTTCAGCATTACACCGCATGAAGGGCACAAAATACACCTCAATCAGATTGGCCCTTAACCACCTTTGCTAAAAGGAGTATAACCCAGTCTACCCAGCTTCTCACCATAGCTAAACCCGTTCTATTAACTAACTATTAATCTAGTAATCTAGTGAACTATCACTTTACACCTTCCAGTATACTCTTCCAAAGATTGGGTGCCTAAAACTGAACATAATACTCTCTTTATGCCTGGAGAAGCACCTCCTTAGTTTTATATTCCAGACTGCTTGTAATAAATGCCATTGTCCCAAATGCTTTATTGACTACCTGTACCTGCAAGTAGATTTTATTGATCCATGGATTTGACACCTAGATCTTGCTGATCACCTACCTTTGTGAGTGCTTCCCACCTGTATCTTTTTCATCTGCAATCAAAACTTCAGCAGTAAGATCTCCTATGATTTTGTAAGTAAAGTCAAATGCCTAGTGTAGCTCTAAGCCATTCAGTCCTGGAAGGTGTAGATAGTATCCTGTCCTACAGCCCGGAGGTTAAATCTGATTTCCCTGGTAGTGAATGGGGTCAAAATAATGCTGCATTGCTCCAATAACTGTTACTTCAGTTGCTGCTGAAGAAATCTCATTATATTACAGCAGGCAAATCTACAACAAAACAAGTTTTCTGCAGAAAGGATTGTTTGTAACTTCTAAAGCAGAAACTATTTCATTGGGATTGTTACCATCTCTGGTAGTTGAAGGAATCACTTTACTAGTCTCTGCGGAGGAATGATTGAGAAACTAACCAGAAGTCAAAGAACAGGCGAAGCATTTTGTATTTATGCTGGCACTGAAGATGGGCTGCGGTCAGTTACGTCGGTTGAAATCACTTAGTTTGTGTCGAAAGACATGAGTTCTGCTTTGTTTATATTCACAGTCTGCTGCTGACTTCAGAGCTGTTGGTGCTTCAGCATGGAAAGACTTTCACCTCTCATATATCTGGACTTTCTTTTGACTTCGGGGTGAGACCATTTACATTTTAGACAGTGAGGATCCAAAGACTAAATGAATAATGATCCTCATAGTGATTATTGCTGGACTGTTCGGCTTCCAACTGATTTTTCTTAATCTGAATTTGAGGTTATCTGTACAATGAAGCCATAAGCTGATTGGCCTGCGATTCTACAATTGTTGAAGCTGCACTAATATGCTTGGCTTGTGGAAATGCCGAGTGCCTTAATAACTTGTACAAGTACTTGTACAGTACTGTAACTGATTGTAGAGAATGACTTAGAGAACATACTCCTGATACTACACTCATTAGAAAAAGCCTGTTATCCTTATTCCAGACTCACACTATGTGTGCTTTTATGACCACTAACAATGTGCAGAGGTTATGCTTTTATTCTGATTTTTTATGCGTCAGGGGAGATTTTGCCAAGACATTTGTTCATTACTAAGCATACACCATTAGGAAATCCTACAATATTTAAACATGACTCAATTATTATATCCTCCACTATCTCCAATTCTAGTCTTATAAAATGACAAACACGTTCTGTGTACGGTCACATTTATGAAACTCGGTTCTCAGTAGTTTTAAAGGTACGTATATATATCGCATGATACAATAAACTGCACCCCTCTCCTAACCAAAGTCAAGGCTGCAGACTCTCCTGTTAAAAGGGGTGGTAAGGTATATACCAGGCAGATCTGCAATTCCAATTATATTGGACAATAGTATTTTATTTCAACTCATATTATTTGATTGTGGGAACTTCCATCCACCACGTCTCCCTTATCCAGCAAAAAAAAGAATCACAGAATAAAAAATCTCTACAAACTCCAACTACATGCATTGCATAGAATCACAATAGTTGGAGTTTAATTTCAAGGATATAACATATCTTTTTGAACAGTGACATTCATAAGAACAACATTATAAAAATAATCAGAAACAATAAATTCTCAGCATGGATTCCAGTGGATTAGCCTGAATTGCTAAATTAATTTTTTTATGTCTTTTCAGCCCTAGAAAGATCCTCCTCATCTCACAAGATCAGTCTGGATGAAGAAGGCCCTTCAGCCCATCCAAGCTCATCCCTCCAGAACATACAGCCTATGTTCCCATCGCTGCACCAATCTGCTTTTAAAATGAGTCCAGTGTCCTGGCCTCTATTACCTTTCCTGACAACCGGTTCCAATTGTTAATTACCCTCTGCATAAAGAAAGCTTTCCTGGTATCTGTCCTGAAATTGCCTTTTACCACTCTAAACCTATGTTCCCTTGTTCTACTGTCTTGGGTGCATCCTAAACACTTGATCTGGCTTTACTTGTTCAATTATATTTAAAATTTAAACATCTCTATGAAATCCCCTCTGAAGTGCCTGTCTAATTGTTGCTCATAGCTCATTCTTCTAACTGGAGATTTTCCCCCACTGCTCTCCTCTGCACTAACCCTGGAGCCTGCGTGGCCTCCTTATGTGATCAGAAGTCTATGCATTATTCAATTGGTCTGACGAGAGCACCGCTTAGCCCGAGTATGACGTCTGGGGATCTAAACACAACTGACTTATTAATATAGCCCAGCATCCGATTTGCTTTGTTTATTGCTGCCTCAAACAGTTTTGACATAGCGAGCAACATGTCAACTAACACCCCGAGATTTTTCTCAGTTTCCCCCTTGGCAAGTTCTAGCCCATCCATGGAGTACTTGTATTTCCTATTCTTGAATCCTATATATCGCACCTCTTTCTCTTCTTACTTCACCTTATCCCATGGTACTTATTCGATCAACTTTGAATAGGAGAAAGGCTGAGTGGTCCCACTGGGATTCAAATCTAGAACCTTCCAGTGTCAAGTGTTCCACTGAGCTACTCATCAGGGGGTGACGAGTGAGTTCAAGTTAGCCCTTATGACAGGTTCCAGACGTAAATATATATACTGAGGTATGCTGCCATGGTTCCTCTTAATCTGGTGGGCTGTGCATCATGGCATCACAAACTGAAGTGCTCCGAGACACTACCCCATGTGAAGGCTGCTATATAAGTGAAAGTTGTTGTTGTTGAAAGACTGATAAGTGCTTATATCAAAAGACACCCAAGGTATTTGTGGATTGCGGTCATTGTACCAGAAATGAACCAGATATCACCAAATTCCTTGATTCACCCTTCGTGATTTTCCAATCCCTTAGCCACATTGAGTGGGTGAGGATTCATTGTATATCATCTCACTGTGAAACACCATCTGATGTGAAAGGCACTTTATCAAATACACGAAATTATTATTTACAGATAGAAAGAAGGGCCAATTTTCCTCCTTTACTCTGATGCATCAGCAACAGGCTAGCAAGAAAATTAGACAAAATAAGAGCTGGACTGTGTGGTGATAGTAGATATTGGTGGAATAAACTGGTGGAATAAGTTTAGTGCTGGACATTGTATTTTTGGAGATGTCTCAATATCGGCACAGTTGTCATATCCACAATAGGAACAAAGTCAGGTGGTGCGGATATCAAACTCTAAACTGTATTTTCAAGTGTGTTGACTTTAAGCTGCCAACTTTAGCTACACTTCACTACACAATAACAGTAACTGGTGAAGCCCTTTGAAATATATTAACATATGTCAGCCTGGTAAGATTATTTCCTTCTGCCTCACGACCCAACTGAAGGGTCAGTCTGGATGATGAGTTCCAACGCTAATTCAACAACAACTTGCATCCCTCAGGCAAGGTAGCGTCCCAGAGCGCTCGACGGTTTCGGAGCATGACGCAAAGCTGGGGGTAGGGGGGAGGTGACCATAGGCACGGTCGAAAAGGAAGGTCTTCAGATGCGATCTGAAGGGGAAGATAGGGGCAAGAGCAGAGGGATAGAGGAAGAGTCTTCCAGAGATTCAGGGCTGGAACCCCACAGCCAGTGTGTCAGTCACCAGGTGTCTCATGAATGCTTTAACCCAGTGTGAAAGCAGCACAGCTCCCACTGTCCCAACAATCAAATAAGACCAGTCAAACTCTCTGCTCCTGCTCCAAAAGTCGCCAGCCAGGCCAGCCCAGCCCAGCCAAACCAGGCCAGCCCAGCCCAGCCAAACCAGGCCAGCCCAGCCAGCCAGCCCAGCCAAACCAGGCCAGCCCAGCCAAACCAGGCCAGCCCAGCCAGCCCAGCCAAACCAGGCCAGCCAGCCAGCCCAGCCCAGCCAGCCAAACCTGCCCAGCCAGCCAAACCAGGCCAGCCAAACCAGGCCAGCCCAGCCAGCCAGCCAAACCTGCCCAGACAGCCAAACCAGCCAGGCCAGCCAGCCCGGCCAGCCAGCTCAGTAAGCCCAGCCAACCAGCCCAGCCAGCCTAGCCAAGCCAGCCCAGCCAGCCAGTTCAGTAAGCCCAGCCCAGGCAGCCCAGCCAGTTCAGCCAGCCAGCCAGCCAGTTTAGCCAGGCAGCCCAGCACGGCCAGCCAGCCCGACCAGGCCAGCCAGACCAGCCCAGCCAGACTAGACCAGCCCAGCCCAGGCAGACCAGGCCAGCCAGACCAGCCCAGCCGCGGCTCGCACGTGTTCACAGGCTGAGACAGCTCACTCCCGGCACTCGCCGGCCACGGGCTCCGGCTTCAAACGGCCGCCCAGGCTCTGCCCCGGGGAGCGAGTGCCGCGGAGGCTTCGGCAGTGGGGGGGGAAAAAAGCGAGGCTTTAAACGAGGCCGAGCTGCCTCGCTCACACGGCGCCGGCAGGGGCTCACCTTTGGTGCAGCTCCCGCTGAAGGCGACCCACCTTCTCCAGGTACCGACAATCGCTCCGGGCCGCCGACGCCATGTTGTCCGTTACCAGGACAACGGCTCCCGGTAGCCTCTGCGCTCCCCCCCCCCCCCCCCCCACCCCGAGCTCCGCCCAGTCCCTGGGGCACGTGCGGGGCTGCGGAGAGCAGGGGGTCCCCCCACCAGCCCCAGCCCCGCCATCACCACCACCCCCGCAGCAGCAGATTGTCTTAACGCAATCACCTTTCAAATGTCTCCAGAACGTCCGAAGGCGCTGGAGACGTTTGTCTTTGCATTTGATATTTGCGCCGTGTCGTCGTCGTCGACGCATTTCAAAGTGCTTCACGGAATATACTGTAAAGCGAATTGGCCGGTGGTACTTTGCGGGTGAAACGCCGCCGCCAATTTGCACCCAGTAATGTCTCCCCCCCACCCCCCACCCCCACCCCCCCAAATCGCCACGGAGCGAGTGGCCGATTTTGTTTGGAGGATTTATTGCCCAGGACGCCACCTCCGTCCAGGAAGCAGCACACCCGGCCCTGGGCTTCGCTTCAGGCCACTGCAACCTGCCGTCAAGAAGACGCTAAAGACCCCATGGAACTATTCAAAAAGAAACAAATATTTTCGCCCAATAACTCTAAATAAACTGGATGGTCATTTTATAATATAATAATGATAAATAACAATCCTTGCATTTGAGACAGCGCTTTTCACGTCTTCTCGACGTCTCAAAAGCGCTTCACAGAATAGACTGTAAAGTGAATTGACTATATTTGTGGCGAAACGCGGCAGCCAATTGCACGCAACAGTGTCTCACGAACAGTCATGGATTGAAAATAACCAATTTATTATTGTTTTGTTTTGGAGGGATTATTATTAGGCGTGTGGAGTAAGGAAACTTGCCCAAGGTTTCGCCCTCTGCCTGGAATTGAACCCAGGTATCTCGCTTGCAAGGCGAGTGCTCTAATCACAGGACTGTAATGGAGTTTTATGGATGGTTATGGATGATGGTTACACTGGTTATACATAAGTGTGCATACATTTTGTGTTTTGCATCTGCCTACAAAACTAGTGACTACGTTTGACAATGATTACTTATAAAACACTCTGAAATGTTTCAATCTCATAAGGCACTATAAAAATATATTAAAAAATGTATAAAAGCTATAAAAACATTCTTCTGCCATACGATAGTGATGTTTCCTGATTAATTTTACAAATACTTCTGGGGAAAGAGCAGAGAGAGATCTTCCATTGCTCCAGTGAGGGAACTAGCACTATCTGGACATCATGGGCTGAATGGCTTCCTTCTGTGCTGTAACCCTTCTGGGATTCTTCTTGACAAACCTCAGCAGCAGATAGCAGATGACCATTCTCAAAAACAGACAGGGTCAGGACACGACCATTAGAGCTTCGTTATTAGAAATTAGACCTAAACCATTCTCTAAATTTATATAATTTATATTGGGTTTGTAATCATACAAAAAAGCTCTTCAACATCGCATAAATGAACCGCATGGTGTGGTACTGAGCCAGACAGATTAAGTAGGTACCAGTTTCAATTCATGGTCTGTATTGAGCTGATCTCAGCTAGAGCAGCAGACAGATGCCACATATAGCCTCAGTATTGTGTGCTCGGGAACAGTAAAATCAGTCTACATTCCGTTTCTTGATTGCAATATAGCGCTGATGGGTGAGGACATAAAATCAGATTCAACTGTTATCCCCTTACTCCCACACAGTCAAATAGTCTATGGTCTTGTCAAGAATGGCCACTTGGGCGAGATGCTGGACAGTTGCCAGTGCTTGTGGAATCACATCCCAACATGAGTCATAGCCTCCAGGTGATTCTGAAAACAATTTAGTAAAGCATTATTTGGAAAACTCCTAAATTTGTGGAAGTGAAATATAAATTAGATCAGGCGCTTTCTTCTCTGAATTTTAATTGTATATTTGTTTTTTATATCTATCACCTTGGGCTCAATTACTTAATTCCCCGTACTGTACAAGTGAAGCTGGTTACTAGTGAACCTGGGTATAAATTAAATGTGTTGGAAAAAAATTATTTGATTACAAAAGGTTTCTACTGTGTAATCCGAACCAACAGAAAAGGATGCGTGCGTGATTTGAAAGCTATGGTATTGTCAAATTGTTCTTTATAAAGTGCAACAATATTATAGAATTCATTTTTCAGGATGTATTATCATTCTGAAAAATCCATATACAGTGTGTCTTGTATGTGGTAGCATTGTGTTCATACTCTGAAGGATAATTGTATTGAATAATCTGTATTGAAATTAGGAATTTTGATCCACAGTTTATTTCATAGATCTTTGAATCAAGGTAGCAGTCAAACATCCCACACTGAGTCAAAACCTGCTTTGAAGGTTGAAGGGATAGTGTTGATAATTACACTCAGACTTGTATTGTATGCAGCACTGTGTTTTTGATAGGGTTAAATTATTCTGTGGTGGGTCGGTCATCTTTGACTAGCTATCAGCGTTTGCAGTAGGTAGCTCCTGGGATATTTAAAGCCTTTTGCAACTGTGTGATGACAAATCTCAATAATGCATTGTGAATGCTCAGAATTTAGACAGATTAGGAAATGGTTAGAAAATTATAGGCTGAAACAGAAGCTTAGCAGTTTTTTGGCACTGATTTTTTTTACGAGATCATAAATAGATCCTGTTTAAATGAGCAAGTTAGTAAAATGCTGCAATAGTAAGAATTAAACGTTCATTTTACACTGCTTTATGCCAGTTCATACCATGCAACGGTATCAAGTTACAGACAATCATTCTTATCCCTAGGGTGACATGGAAACTGATTTCACTGCTGTAAGACGAGAGAGGAAGTTCATTGTCCAAAGGCAGGAACTACAACATACATCAGCTTGAATATTTCTATCATTATCCAGCTCCAGTAATTGTAGCTATAGAGAAATGCTTCCAAGGACGTAACCAAGCCAGTGCTAAAAATCCCAATTCTAAAAATAGCCATGTTCTGAAGCTGCATAAGGGAGCTTCACCATTGCCTGTGCAAAATGAAGACTGGATGAAATTGATGTATTAGAGCTCCATTAGTTGTAAAAGTAAATATACATTAGAAGGGAAAGAAACGTACACCTGTTTATATTTAAAGGCAAAGGATGGTGTGTTCAGTTTCAATGTGAACTATGTTAAAAATAGACATGTATTTAGAAAATTTGATTGTCATATTGGATCATGGTCTCATCATACTATTAAATTCATGTGATATATGAAATATATCAGGCACTGACAGAATCACCATCCATGGATGCACACACCACCTTACTAAGCCAGTCCGGAACCTTGGGTCTTGTTTGACCCTCAGCTGTCCTTTCTGTCCCATATCAGTGGCATTATCCGCTCTGCCTTCCCTCAACTCCGCAACATCGCCCGGCTCCGCCACTGACTCATACTGTAGGCCGCTGAAACCCTCATATACGCATTCATAAAATCGAGGCTTAACTAATCAAATTCCTTACTTGTTGGCCTTTCCAACTCCTCCCTCCATAAGCTGCAGATCATCCAGAACTCTTGCAGCCCGTGTTCTCTCCTGCACCAGGTTCCATGACTCTATCACCCCCATCTTCGCCCGACTCCACTGGCTTCCCATCACACAGAGGATACAGTTCAAGATCCTGGGCTTCACCTTCAAAGCCCTCCATGGCCTTGCTCCCTCCTACCTCTGCGACCTCCTAAACCCCCTACCATCCTGCCCACTCCCTCCACTCAGCGGGCTCCGGCCTGCTTCATGTCCCCTGCCTTGCCTCTCCACCATTGGCGGGTGGGCTTTCTACCACTCTGCCGCCGCCCTCTGGAACTCCATCCCACAGTCCCTCCACCTGACGCCCTCCCTGCCTCTTTCAAGACCTATCTCAAGACCCTCCTCTTCGGATGTGCTTTTGATCACACTCTGCCCGCCCTGCCCTCCCCAAATCCAACCCCCAGCTCAGGTACAAAACACTGACTGTCCAGCACCTTGGAATGTCCTCCCAATGTGAAAGGCGCTATATAAATGTAATTTTGTTGTTGTTATCGACAAACAAAAAAGAGTACTTGAAGTGTTTCATATTCTGTCTGATGCATATTGTTGGATATGTTTTGAGATTGTGGATAATTACAGTTCAGAAATGGCAATGATTCCAAACAGACTTTTCCTTGGGTGTGGAGAGGTTGGCACTCTTTTCATAAAAATAATTGTCATTCAAAAGCAGCGGTCCATTTTACCCCGAAATCACTGATTTCACCACATTTTATATTGATCCCCATGTATTGCAGTGGACCATGGTTTCATATTTTTACCAGCACATAAAACATGAATAACATTATGTGCAAAGTGCTTCAGCTGTCTTGTATTTTAGATGTGTTTGAAAGTAACTAAAACACCTAGATACATAATACCAGATTCACATACGTTTATAGTCAGGTAGATACTGAGATATGAATCATCAGTTGAATTGCCTCCACGCAGATGTTTTTTTTTCGCATGTGTTCATATCGTATAAAGTTTACAGAAGTTATGTAGCGAATCAGATTGGTGCGTACAGTTATAAATCAAGTTTAGGGCAGTTTGGGCTTATACATTAGCATGGGAAGGCAAGAATTAAAGACAGTAATATTCTTGAAAATGATAAAACTGCGATTATCATACTCTAATTAGTTTCCATAATATTAAATCAATGAACAAACATTTCATGATGAAAATTAAACAAGGGCATTTCATATAACTGAAGAGAATGCTCCCATTATGATCACTTGAACAGCGATTTTTTTTTAAAGTGGATGCAGTGGATGTGCTGAATATGGATCGAAACAAAAATCAAATGAATAAAGGATAGTGTTAATGCAAAATATAAAGTCTTTTTTTTATTTTATGTCACTGAGTTACTTGTATACCTGTCTTGTCTCATCTCTCTTGTGTAAATCTGGAACCAGTCTGCTGCATTCTGTCTTCTCTGCTTAATTGCTTCATTCCCTGGTCGTTCTCTGACTCCTTATTTGACCTTTTACAAACAGTAACAGCTGACAAACACTGTAGCTGAACGGGAGCATCTGTTTCACTTTACTCCGGGCAGATCCGTGAAACA